AAAAAAAAAGAATTTGTAATTAAAGATCTTTCTACAAAGAAAAAAAAAAGAGATAAAAAAAAGAAAAAAAAAAGGAAGCTAACTAGAATTTCATACATGCCCAATTTGGGTACTTCGGAACCTCCAATTCAGATGTCCAGAGGGCAGCTGAATGTGTGGATCACCTCAGAAGACTCATCTCTGGTGTAGACAGGGAGGAATAGGGAAGCCATTTTCTCTACAAAAGGAAATGGCCCAAAGAGCAGTTTCATCAAATCCCTGTAGTCAAGGTAGGTAATTCATTCAACCAACAATTAAACAATATACAGGTTCTGTACGTGGTGTCGGAAGTGAGAGACACCACGAAGGGTGACAAGGAGACAGACAAGTAAAACAATTACATTAGGTGGCTAACTGGAGTAAGGGCACAACAGAAAAAGTAAACTTTATTTTAAAGCTACATGATACTATACATATGTATCTCAAACACAGAAAAGCACACACACAAAAATCGTTTTGTTTCACCATCCAGAGAAAACCAGATTAATCTGATATGCCCTGTCAAATTTTGTATCTTATTATTTAAGGGCGGGCGCCCTCTTCTGTTCTGTAAAAGTAGCCGTTGAATTCCTGCCGGAAGCGGCGCGCCGCGCGGTTAGGCGCTGGTTTGGGGGCTGGGCTTTAAAGAATCGTATTTCAGTGAGTCAAGACAACGGAGAGCGGAAGGCGCACAACGCCCGCTTTACAGACTAGGAAGTCTGGCCTCAGAGAGGTACGTGACTTTGGAGGCTGGACGAAGAAAGGCCAAAGCCGGAAGAGCCCAAAGCGGCGGCCACGAGAACCCAGAGCCCCCCCAAAGACCTCGCAAGCTTTGTGGGGGTGCGGGTGCGGGAGTGGAGGCGGACCGGCTGGGGCGTAGCCTTATGGCGCGACGTCACGTTCCCCTGTCTGGCGACCCATTGGCTCTCCCATTACCGTCCTTTTCCGGGACAGGAAAACGGGTCATAGACGGAAAAGAGGTTCAAGGCAGCGGCGGCGTCTGAAGCAGAGCGACCTGATCCCTTTGCAGCCAGTCAGCTTCTCGATTCAGGCTCCGGCCTGAATTGGAGAAGTCCTCCAGAATCCCGGCCTGTGGAAGGGCGCCGAATCGGATCGCGAAGTATCCGACGTAGACCGAAATTTAAGAGCTCCTGAGCGCCACCGGAAGCCACGCCCCCAGGCGGGTCGGAAAGCCTCGCCGTGGGGGAGGAAACCTAAAGAGATTGCCCCCGGGGCGGAGCCCGCCAGCCATGGCTACGTCCCCGGGGGCTGGTCCCGCCGCTCTGCGCTTTGTAGCCGCTGCCAGCTGGCAAGCCGTGCGTGGGCGCTGCGTGGAGCATTTTCCGCGGGTGTTGGAGTTTCTGCGATTCCTGCGAGCTGCTGCTCCTGGCTTGGTTCGCTACCGCCACCATGAACGCCTGTGTATGGGCCTAAAGGCCAAGGTATTGCAGCCAGTAGGAGCTAGAGAGGAAGGGGGAAAGGGGCGGGTTGCCGGGACCTGACCAGAGCCGATCGCCTGGGGATGGGACTGGTTGGAAAAGGCAGCTTGCGCCGAAGTGAGCATTCTGAACTCAACACCCTAAACAGGTGGTGGTGGAGCTGATCCTGCAGGGCCGGTCTTGGGCCCAGGTTCTGAATGCCCTGCATCACCACTTTCCAGTGTCTGCACCTGTAGTGTGGGACCCCAAAGCTGTGAGTAATCTCTGGAATAAGCCCTATTCCCATTTAACACAAAGTTGTGCCTCCTTGTGGTGCCTGGATCCACCTGCCCCTAACTTGTCTGCCTTCTTTACCCTCAACAGACAAAGCAGGATATGAAAAAGATCTCAGAGGCACAAGAAACTTTTTGCCAACAGGTGAAGCATCTGGCAGAGGCCCCTGTGAACTTGGCTTCCAAGCTGCAGGTGAAACTGGCTGGTGTGGAAGCTGTGATGTGGTTTATTTTCTGTAGCCCTCTTCTGACCTGCTTATTTCCCTACTGCAGGAACTTGAACAAGAGTATGGAGAACCCTTTCTGGCTGCCATGGAGAAGTTGTTTTTTGAATACATGTGTCAGCTGGAAAAAGCACTGCCTACACTGCAGGCACAGCAGGTTTTGTGGCAAAACAAGTAAGGGCAGAGTGCGGGGCAGTTCTATCAAGGACTGGTCTTCATGCCTCTCTTCCTGCCCACAGCTTCAGGATGTGCTGAGTTGGATGCAGCCAGGAGTTTCCATTACTACTACTTTTGCCTTGAGCCAATATGTTGTGGACATGGGGTGGCCACTTGCAGGTACCAGAACCATCTGGGAGAACTAGGAATTTGGGGGTAGAGTGTTTAGTTGATACATTTTGAGACAGATCTTTGGAAGGGCTACATGGGCCTGAAGCACAGAAGAAACCAGAGTGAGTTGTGTCATTATGTTTTCTTTTTATAAGGAGCTTCATTTTCTTTTTCAGAGTGCTCTATTAATGATTCAGTGAACATGACAGAGCCCATGGAGCAGAGTCTTCCTCAGCAACCAAGTCTAGCACTCAATGATCCTCTGCCAAGAGCCAGGCCTGGCCATTACCTTCATCAAGGTCCAGCCTCAAGGAAGCACCCAGAACCTGTGGCTGGCCACCATTTCAATTTGGCTCCTCTAGGCCGGCGAAGAATCCGGTCCCATTGGGCAACCACTAGGGGAGGCCATAAGGAGCGCCCCACAGTCATGCTGTTTCCCTTTAGGAATCTGGGTTCACAAATGCAGGTCATATCTAAGCCTGAGAACAGGGAAGAACACATGGCAGATCCAGCAGGCGCTATGGGCACAAGAGAAGCCTACACTGGAAAGTCTAAGAGTCCCTCCCAGACCCTAGGGGGTAGGGCTCTGAAGGAGAACCCAGTTGACTTGTCTGCCTCAGAGCAGGAGTGAGTGGAACAGTTGCTTCTTCTGCCAGCAGCACATTCCTTGCCTGCTTTCCCTTCACCCCATCTTCTTTGCTTGCTCCCCCCTCAGGAATTGCTTGGATTGCCCCATGGATCCCCTGATACTGTCATTATCGCCTCCGATGAGCAGGAAGCCAGGTAGGTAGCTTAAGTCAGGATTGGGTCAGACAGCCTCCTCCCTTGGAGACTTGAGGGCTTGTGTTCACCTATAAGAATATACTTTGACTCTGGTTTCCATCCTGCAGTGTCTCCTCCGTCTCAGTCCAGCTCTGTCATTACCATAGGGGACTTTGTTTTGGACTCTGATGAGGAAGAAAATAGCCAGAGGGAAGGAAGGGTGAGTAGGAAGGAACACAAAGTTGGGGAGGGGCATGGGCAGAACATGATGGAAAAACCCACATGCTCCAGCATGTGCAGGGCTCAGAATGTTTCAGATGATGATAGCATCTCCCTGCTCCTTCTCTGCAGGGATCTCTGGGAAACTATCAGAAGACAAAATCTGATACCCTGATCCCCACTTTGTATGAGTACCTCCCTGCTTCTGGCCCCAGTGACGTGGGTTCCTTCCCATGACCATATAGACAGCTCTAGATTCCTGTGATAGGATTGGAATGCCCTTTGCACTCCGCCTGTCTCCTTTGTCAGCTCTACACACAGTTTAGAGGGAATAAAGTGAAGCCCAGGCTTGGGTTGCCTGATCACATTGCTAAAATTACTTTGTAGTGCCTGATAATTAAACATTGGAGTACCTAAAACACTGTCTTGGTGTGAGGAAGGGAAATTAAAGCTTCTGTAAGGTCGGTGTAAGTCATTCCTTAGAAACAGAACTGTCCTTTCCAGAGCTGGAAGAATCCCTTTGCTTTTTTACTTCCCTTACAAAGTGGTGTTCCAGTGTGCCCAGAAGGGTTACCAGCGCTGGCAGCCTGAAAGAGAAATTTCTTTTTGCTATTCTGAAAATGTCTGCATGTGTCCTGATGCCAGAATATAGTTTGTGAATTCTCATGCTGTCAGATTATCTGTGTGGTGGCACTAGAGTGCAGATACCTCATGGAAAAAGTACTCACTGTCCTTGGTATTGGGTCAGTGCCAGCTCCACCTCCACTTGCTTGGGAGCAGCACCCAGATGCCAGCCTTGTGCAGAAAGCCTCCAGTATCTCTTTATAGTCATTTGGATTTTTCTTTATTGAGGTATTTAAAATATATGAACATTTCTGAGTTTTTTAGATATTCAAAGATTCTGTTCAATGAAGCTGATTAACAAAACATGATTCTAAATGCCTTATTCCAGACCAGGGCTATATTAAGTACTTATGTTACAACCCAGCATCTTTGCCTTTTAATAATCTTCAGGATGCTGGGTGCCCAGATCCCTATTTATCTCATTTTCCCATGAGTGCCCTGGACATTGTGTGTATGCAAATAGAGAAGTACAGAATTACTACAGGAGCCTTCAAGAGTGAGATGACAGGAAATGACCAAGTCATCAGTAGCCACAGTAGCTAGGATGGGTGAAGAGCCCACTTGGGTGGGGTGCTGGTGCCTTAGGAGGGCAGAACTGCTCAGATCTAGCTCTCTTCACTGAAGATTGGATTCACCTGCTGAGTGACCCGGATGAAGGTAGTTCTCCTGCTCAACTCCTTCAGTTTAGCTGCTCCCACGTAGGTACATGTGGAGCGGATGCCTCCAAGGATGTCTCGGATGGTATGTTCCACATCCCCTTTGAAGGGCACCTCCACTATCTTTCCCTCTGAGGCCCTTAGAGAAGTAAAAAACTTTCTTACCTTTTCTTTCAGAATTCCTTAAGCCCAGTGACTTATCTCCAGTCTAGCATTTAGCCCTGGTTCACCACTTTTCTCATAACCATCCATCTCCCAATGAGTCCCAATGAGTAAGCCACCACCCTACTTAGTCACACTTTCCAAGAACTGCCAGCTCCTGGGCTTCAACACATACCTATACTCAGCCACGCCTCCAGCATACTTCTTCATGGCCATTTCAGAACTCATTCCATAGAAGAGCTTGTACCTCTTGCCATTCCTCTCAATGAGCTCACCACCTGACTCAGTGTGCCCAGCCAGCATGCCACCCAGCATCACAAAGTCGGCCCCTGCCCCTGCCAGCATCAACGATGGGGGAAAGAGATGAGTCTGGCTCAGGTGCCCACTCGCCCACCCTGAGAAGCAACTCATGCCAAATTCTCAGTCCTAACCAACATATTCCTGGGTTTGCTTCAGCTGGCCTACAACCAACACAGGCTGCTCTGCCCTGGCCTCTCAGGGGGCCTGCTTTCCCCAAGAATTTTTTAAAAGCCTCTGCAGATTCCCTGGCTCGCTTCTGCTCTTTTTTGCTGCTCTTGCCATCTTCCAGTCATTCCTTTTTACTGTGTCCAACTAAACACACTTCAAGTTTCCCAAGAGCAAAGGTCTCCAACTTCAGTGTGAGCAAGGATCACCTAGGAAGCTGTGAAAAATGCAGATTTTCAGCCCCATCCCCTAGAATCTGATTTTGTAGGTCTGGGTAGGGCTCAGGCATCCACACTGTCCAGCAGTCCAGGGGATCATGCAGATGGTGCTGCCTCACACTTGGAGGGTCTCTATCAGTCTCAGGATTTCCCCTGGTGGCTTGCCCTAGGTGAAACCACAGGCTTCAGGGTCACTAGTTCATATTATAAAAGAAATCTGAATGGCTTTCTCAGCCTTTTCCTAGACCCTCAGAGATAACTCATCCTCTTCTACAGGATCCTCCTCCCATACCCTCCCCAACAGCCTTACCAAAAGCCTTGGCCACATCCCCAGGACAGCTGCAGCCTCCATCCTGCAAAGTACGAAGCACAGTGAAGAGATGGCCTAGATTTCCCAAGCTCTCTGAGTGATGTCCCATTGACCCACCTCAAAGATGACATGGACCTGGGAGTCCTGATCCACCTCTACCAGAGCCTCCATACCTAGCAGAAAACCTAGATGTTTGGCAGCCTCATACCCTACCCAGCTCCAGCCTTACTGAAATGATGTGGCCTTTGAGGCCATGAGCAGCATCTGCGCATTCCAGCACTGCACTGAGCTGTGGGTAGCCCACTCCAGTTTTCTTCCGGGTGGTACACACAGAGCCTGAGGAGAGCGTGACAAGGATGAGAGTGAAGTGCTCCACAGGTGTCTGCCACCAAAGGGGGAGCCAGTGGCACCCAAGGAACCAGCTTACCAGGTCCAATTCCTACTTTGATGATGTCAGCCCCAGAGAGGATCAGCTCTTCCACCATCTCTCCTGTTACCACATTCCCTGCCTGAGACAGCAATTAAAACAGAGCATTCTTAGGATTGCAAAGAGAGAGGAGGTTGGGTGTTCTCATATAGCACACCTGGACTGTTACCTGCCAACATTAGTATAAAGAAGTGGACTTGGATTCCCTCTCCTGGGTTCCCTAGAGTGTCTAGACTAGCCACTTCAAAGAACCCTGCTTCCCAAGATGAGGTAAGGGGGTGAGTGGCCAGTGTCACCGCTGTACTAGGGTGAAGCTGGGGTCCATGTGGACCAAGGTCAAATCTGATTTACAATAGATTTATCTCCCTCTCCCTGCCAGGAGACCCAAACATATCCTGTCCTTAAGCTGTTATACCATATATCCTCTCTGGCTTCAGGGCAAAGGGGAAGACATGGTAATGTCAGCTGAATACCCATATGCACACCTGAATTTGCTTTTGATGGACAGTAGAGAGAGACCCCCTCAATGCTGGAGAGAAAATGAGGCCTCGTCATCACTTCCCTAAGCTTGTAAAAAAAATAAAACTTTTTTTTTTTGTGCAGCCCTTTAATATGACTGTGCATGTCCATTTCAGTAGACAGGTGTCTGTGCACCACAGTATGCATAGTGCATAAATGGTCCATGGTTTGGTGAGTGATGTTAGGCACACTGGATTTACAAAGACGATGTATCAAGAGTCAAGAGATAATAGCACTGACCAGTAGACAAACATTTAAGCATGGAACTACAGATAATGACCCAGTGACAAAATTAAGTGGACTTAGAAAATTATAATGCAGCAGAGGAGAAATAAACTAATGTAACAAAACGGACTGGCAAAAAAGCGTGAAAGAAAGAAATGTATCAACTGCAAGATAATAGAAACATACCATGATGGTGTGTTGAGGGAAGCGCTTCCGCACATTCTTTACAAATTCAACAAAATGTTCAGAATAGCCATTTGCCACATCCAGACATATATATTTCACCTGGGGAATAGCTTCCAGGATTTGTTCCAGCTGCTGAAAGTCAGAAGAGCCTGTACCTGAGCTGGCAGCCAGATGCTGTGAGATAAACAGGGCCATTGCATGGGAGGCATTAACTTTGTTACATGTCAGGAATACCAGGGTAGGGAGGTGAGGGTTGGTCCCCAGGAAGCCAAAAAGATTCCTGGAAAACTAGTCTAAGGAAGAGATCAAGGGAGAACCAATGTTACCTCAAGACAGTCAGGATTCTGGCTAGCGAACTCCTGCCACTGCTCGAGGCTGTAGTGTTTATGGACAGCAGTGAAGAGGGAGAACTGGAGAAAAGAGCCATCAAAAAGAAGTTTGTAAGGGTCTCTTTCTAGAAACAGATCTTTATAATCTAGCCAAGGGGGAAAAGGACTGAGGTTTGAAAAGAGCAACTTGAAATCAATGGTTGAGCTACAATTTTAGTTCAACCATTCTCCCCATAAATCCTAGAAGGGCTTTTTACTGTAAGCTAGTACTTGTCAAACACTCCCACCAAAGTACTAAGTCATCTGGATTGGATTTCACCTGCCAGCACATAGAGTGCTTCTGACTTAAAGGTGACAAGAACAAGGTGTTGGTGTAGTAGGACAAGCAGCGGACAAGGAAGAACCGTGAAGAGGCTGGACAGAGTCAGTGTCTGCTGTGCTGACTAAGCCGCTTCTCCTGTGGTAACCCAGTACTGAGCTAACCTATCTTGGGTGTCTTCTGGTCCATTTATCAGTAATTCAGTGAGTCAAAATGCTCACAAAAGGTAAGGCTTTAAAGCTAACAAAAAAAGATAAGGCTTTAAGGTTAAGAAAGCCAATAATGTGCTACCCCCCATCCTTATCCATCTGCACTGGAGTAAAAGATTTTCTGGAGACATGGACCAATCTGAAAAGTCTATTTCATTCAGTGTTTCATTCAGCCAAGTTCAAGGATACAATGATTCATCAGATTTGTGTTCCTTAGTTCAACAAATAGCAAACAATATCCCAATACTTTGAGAAAGGCATTCAAAGGCCTCTGTGAGTGCTGGTTATTGTGCTTTAAAACTGCAAACATGCAAACAGATTATAGACAGCTGTTGACTGAGACAGCACAAATCTTGCCACCAACAAGAAATCCAAGAAATGCCACCAACATCAGCCAGCAGTAAGGAAGTGCTATTGCTCTACACACTCAACATTACCTAAAGTTGGTACTGAATTCTATTTTCTTAGCAACACTCTGCCATTAACATGCTGAGGACAAAGGAAAATCACTCCTGGTCAGCAGACCTTGGAGACATACAAGCATAGTGAGGCATGGCATGATGAGCACATCCAATTACATACCAAGCTAGAGATCTAGAAAAAGATGCTTACTTGTATCCAATCTTTTTATTATTACTATGAAGACTTGGCTCTGTCTCTAAAATCTGATTCTTTAGAACTTATCAGCAGAACTGAAAAGCCAGACCCAACATAAAGCATCAAGACAGCACCAAAAAAGTCTGAATTACAGCCTATCTGTTAATGCTTTAGTCATATTCACCATTCCTCACTCCACTAGACATGGTAGGTGGAAAATGGGCAATAGCATTCCTAGGCATTTAGTGAATGGCAACAGCAGTAAAGTACTCAAACTGCGTAACTATCAACCTAAGAGAAATGACGGCAGACATTCCACAAAAACTTATAGCAATCAAATACAGAGAAAGGGAGATGAAGTCCTTAAGGCTAAAAGAGCCACAAGCAACAGCAGAATCCATCAGCCAGGGTACATGGATTAACCAGAAGAGTGCATATATTCTCAGTGTCCAGAGTAACTATCTAACTTATCAGCTACAAGTATAGAGGCAGGTAATTACTGACAGGAGCAGCATCTTCTATTTTGAAAGTAAACAATAACCTGTATGTAAGAAAAACACATTCCATTTTGGGCACATCCCAGAAACTCTCAGGAATCCAGGATTTAAAGAAGAGGAAGATTTTTAAAAATGAAAGAAAAAGAGAAGGATAAACATAAAAGAAAATAAGCTGCTGCTCTCTAGGATCTGCTAGTTAGAAATTTTTGAACTCAAACTGTATTTGGTTTCTGGACTAAAACACTGAGTTCTTAATGTCTCTAACAGTGTACTGGAGGGATGCATATGGTTTGGAGGGGGTGACCTAGGTGGTGGGAAAATTTGGCAGAGTATCAACTCAACTACTAGACAGGAGAAAAGGGAAAGTTCTGTTTATATATTAAAAAATGGGGCAGAATTTAGTTCTGAATTTTGCTAACTCAGATGGCCTTTTAACTTACTAAATAAAGGGGCCTCAGTGCAAGAGAAACTGGATAAAATAGTAAATCAATCATACTGACTGTTACTTGCCAAAGTTAACCTGGAACCGGGGTGGGCATGCAAATACCTCTGTAGTCAGCCCACATAACTAGACATCATTAAGGAAGAGACATGAGGTAAGTTCTACCTTACAGAGAACCTTGGCCATTTCAAAGGTGCCCACAGTATCCATATTGGCAGCAATGATGGGGATCCCAGTGTACATCTGCTTTGAGTTCCGAAATGAAAAGGATCTTGTGAGATCCACCTGCAGATGTGCACAGTAAACAGAGAATTCATTCACACAAAAATCAAGTTTGGCACAAAGACAAAAGCCAGGAACCTCTGTCAGACATGGCCCACCAGGTGCTTGCAGGCAAGAAAGGGCAACTAGGAAAGCAAGCTCACCTCACTTCGAGACTTAAGAGTACTGCGTTTGGGCCTCAACAGAACATCCTTGAAGTCCAGTTTGACGTCGTTGTCGATGTGAGGCATGGCGGGGACCTGAGGTAGCAACGAACCTGAGGGCTGGAAAGTAGAAAAGTCAGGAAGGAGGAGCTGAATCAATCTCCCTGTAGGCTTTAATGCCCTATTTGCGCTGGCAGCAGGGCTCATCTCTCTTCTTGCTTAAAATTGTGGAAGGTTGGGGCCCTGGTCGAGGCATGGTCCCCTAAGACCGTTAGGTCTGACCCGCCTTGTGGATGCGATCACACTCCGTGTCTCCACCCCAAGCACTATTTGTCGGAGAGAACTGGGATGGAGTCGCGAGTGACTCTAAGAAGGTGCATTCCTTACCCCACTACTTTTCCTTCTCCAGCCCGTGCAAAGAGCAGTTTAGCGTAAGAAGTTTATTTAGGCAGGGAGAAGAAATTTGGAGAGGGGAGGTCCCACGACCAGCTTCCGGAATAGGAGTACTCACTTCCTGTCGCCGAGGCCAAGCGGCACTTGACCGAAACTCCCCTTGCTTAGCAACAAGCCTCGTGCAGCTCCGCTGGGCCTTGTGTGCCCTGCCAACGGGTTCCGCTAAGTGCCGACGGGAACGATTTAACAGGTATTCTAGCTTCGGCGGCGGCCCTGCGAGGCTTTCTGGGTAACAGAGTTCGCACACTCCGGTTGCTATTGGATTCGAGGGGCAGGAGACTGCAACTCCCAGGGTGGAATGCGCGGGGCTACCCCCTGGCATGATGGGAGGAGTACGTTCCGCCCCCGCTCCAGTAGCCCCGGCTCACTGGGGACTTTCAGAATCGCGGAGGCGTCCTCTTTGCTGTAACTGAGCTTGTCGCCTTGTTTTTATTTTTCACGCCACCGAAACGAAACGCGGGAACGTTCCCGAGCCTTTCGGAAGCCCCGTGGAAAAAAGTTGGGGGTGGAGCCAGACAGTGACCCGGAAGGAGAAGTGACTCACCCTTGGAGTGTTGGGGAGAGGCAGTGGCGACCGCCCCGGTAGAAGCAGCAATTATCCGTGTGCAGCCCCAAACTGGAAAGAAGATGCTAATTAAAGTAAAGGTGGGAGTACCTCCAGCCTTGCCAAGACGCAGTGGTACTGGGCCGGCCTCTGCGCCTTAACGGGAGAAGAGGGGAAGGAAAACCACGCCTTTCCAAAGTCTGGAGGGTGCTGACAGCCTCAGGGGTCCGCGCGAGGGGTGATGGGAAGTGAGGGGACCCAAGAGGTCTTTGATAGCTGGGGGACTGGCGCCGCCAGAAGACCCCGGGGTCTTGTAGTCCCTGCTTTTTCGCTGAGATTGTGCCATGACCCAGAACGAGGCCGCCTTTGTCCGGGGTCTCTCTGTATTCGAATCCCCGCGGTCATAGAGAAGGCCTAGCAGCAGCTTGGCTTCCACCCATCTTTGGATTTTTGAAATAAGTGTTATCTCCATCTTTCATGCCCAGGTTACCTGCTTTTCCCAACCCCTAACGTAGGCTTCCTCCGACACAACACAAAACGCTAGATTGGGGTACCGGCGTCTTCCAGGGGCTAGGCTGTAAGCCTTTGCTGGTTGTCGCTAAGATGTAGTATCTCAGCCGGCCTTCAGGAACCAAAGCTGGGAGTGTGGTCAGTTATCACATGCCTTTCTGAACCGGGCCTCCTGGACCAGCCTCACTTCCTTGACTGAGGCAGGTTAGTGACCAGTGCCCTAGTTCTTGGTACTAGCAGTGTTTTCCTTCATTTTCATCTCTCAACTCCTGTGATTCTTCACCAATACCCAACCCTCGTTAGTCCCATCTGCTATTTCCTCTTTTGTACCTTCAGACAGAGGAGAAAAACTAACAATTGATGCAGTGCGTCATTAGTTTGGCCTTTTTACTGCCAAATAAGTCTGTTGTTATTTCATTAGCTCTTTAGTGTATTTACCATGCAGAATAGCCATTCTTAACTTCTTCAGTCTTTCCAAACCATCTCTTAGCTAAGGATTGAGGCCAAACAGCATGTTAAAGATCATTATTTTTCAAACTTTGAGTAGTGACCTGTAAAAGAGTCACTAATTATAAAATCAGTTTAACAGGTCAGTAGGGTCACAAGCAACATTAAAAAAAGAAAACAGTATCAGGGTATATTGATGGGTAAGAGTATTGTTTTGTGGAATTTTGTTTTCATTTTATATGTACATTACTAGTTCATATGTATTTCTTAATGTGGGTCACTGTCAAAAAGTCTGAGAAATACTAGTAGATGAATGTTTTTATTTTCAATGCACATGGATTCTCATGTCCTTTCAGTTTTCTCTTAGTGCAAAGAATAGGTTATTACTCTACTTATGTTCACGTTCTGTAAACTTTTTAAAAACATCTCAATCTACACTAAAAAATTTTACTTCGTCCCATACAGACACAAAAAATTTGCTACTGTGTGATATGATCAAATTGTCAATTCTAAGTGGGTTTGTAACCTACTGAGGAGTTGAGACCTGAAGTTTAAAAAAAGTACTGTGTTTTAGATGGGATTCTTAACTTAAAGGTGAGAGAATCAGCTGGAGATCCTGTGAAAATGTTGATTCTAATTCAGTAGGTATGGGGTGGGACCCAAGATTCTGCATTTCCGACAGGCTCCTAGGTGATGCTAATGCTGCTTGTCTGGGGGCCACACTTTGAGTAGCAAGGTTCTAGATTTTGTCTCTTTCTCTGAATCCATTTTTATTTAGTAGTTCTCTAAAATTGTCAGTCTCCTTTCCCAAACCACTGTCCTTTCTGCCTTTAAACAGGTTTCTCTGTCCTTCATCTTCTTTTTTTGTTTGCTGAGTTTCTTTATATGTCATATACACATGAAAGCAATTAGTTAGCTGTTAATTACTATACAAATGATAGGTTAATTAGCAGTGTTCCTTTGTGAGTTATTCATTCTTCAGTGGTTGCCTCCATGTAGCTGACTTCTTCCATATATTTTTCTTCAGGCCCTTACCACTAACCCCTCCTGATTTAAATATTTTCTTGATACCGCATCTCTTGTCTTTCTGAAATTAAATACATCCTCTCTGTCTTGGGCCATCTTCTCAGTACTCTTCTTGTATATTGATCCCATCAATCTACCAGGTATCTGGAACCCAATTCTTTAGAATCATTTTTCTCTTAATAAAACCTGGTTTTTCTTTTGATACTTTCTGCTTGATTTTCTTTCCATTCCCATTAACCTTATTCTGGTCTGGAGTCTAATAAAACTTATGCCTTTTTTACTCTGTAATACCTTCAGCCAAGTTTTACTACCACCATACCCTCTCTAAAGTTTAGAGTCTAAGCCAAAAGATAGTGTACAGAATCATAGCATACAGGTAAACTTTAAACTTCTTTTTCATCATATTACTCCCTAAATTCCAGATTCTGCACTGATATCTTCTTAGTAGATTACTTTGGGCAACTGTCTTATCTAAACCCCAGTTTTCTCATTCTTTTTTTTTTACCATGAATTTTTAACTTTAAAACACAGAGTTCTTAAGGGTTCAGTACAATACGTTGTTAACAACAGTGTACACTCATGTAACCACAAGATCTAGAACAGTTTCAGGGGTTAGTTTGGCTTTAGAATTTTATATAAACAGCTATAGAATATATAATTTTTGTGACTGGCTTCTTCAACTCAACATTATCGCTATTGTAATATAGTTCTTACTGTACTGAGTAGAGTTAGATCAGATGGTTACATCGCAATTTGTTTATCCATTCTCCTGTGGATTGATGTTTGGGTTGTTTCCAGTTTCTGGCTGTTATGAATAAGGCTTCTGTGAACATTGTTATTACACAAGTCTTTTTGTGGACATATGTTTTTGCTTCTTTTGCATAAATACCTAGCAATGGAATTACAGGGTCATGTGCTGGATATATGTAACTTCAAAAGAAACTGCCAAAAAGTTCTCCAAGGAGTAGTACCGTTTTACATTCCTACCTGCAGTGAATGTGCATTCTGGCTGCTCTGTACCCTTGCTAACTTACAGTCATGTCGTTTCCATTTTGGCTATTGTAGTGGATGTGAAATGTTATCTCATTCAGGTTTAAATTAATTAACATTTTTTGCTAACCATAGCACTTTGCATTGACCCTTGTATTTGGATAATAACATTCAGTATGTCAGTTCCTTGCTTATTGGTTTGTTCTATTAATTGTGTCTCCTTGTGTCTTGGTTGTAAATCTCCACTTGAAAAAGACTGTTGGCAAAGACTGGATCATTTAATTTCTTTTTCTTTTATGTCCCCTCCAGTGCCTAAAGCAGTATGTTGGGCTTAGGTTCACCATACACTTGTTAAATAGCGCAGAATGTATTCCCTGGTCAAAATGACTAGATATGAAGGAAGAAATCCAGTAGATAACCTGATATATGAAGAATGTCTTTTTAGATTGTTCACTTTCTTTAAAGCAATTTTAGTTATGGACAATTTCAAAACATATACAACAGCAGAGAGAGGAATATAATGCACCCTCTACCGAGCTTCAGAAACTATCATCTCATGGTTAATCTTATTTTATATATACTCACCAATTCTGTTTACCTGACTGGTGTTTTAAAAAGCAAATCCCTTATAACATGGCTTGTTTATTTGTACATATTTTAGTATTTATCTGTAAAAAAAAACTTTTATTGTAACTGTAGTTATCACACCTAAAAAAATTAACAATGATTTCTCACTATCACCAGACTTATCGTCTCATTTGTTTTTTGTTTTTTGTTTTCTTTATTTTGGTATCATTAATCTACAATTACATGAGGAACATTGTTTATTAGACTCCTCCCATCACCAAGGCCCCGCCACAAGCCCCATTACAGTCCCTGTCCATCAGCGTAGTAAGATGGTGTAGAATCTCTACTTGTCTTCTGTGTGCTGCACAGCCCTCTCCATGCCCCCCCATTATACATGCTAAACATAATGCCCCCTTTTTTTCCCCCCCTCCATTATCCCTCCCTTCCCACCCATCCTCCCCAGTCCCTTTCCCTTTGGTAACTGTTAGTCCATTCTTGGGTTCTGTGATTCTGCTGCTGTTTTGTTCCCTCAGTTTTTGCTTTGTTCTTATACTCCACATATGAGTGAAATCATCTGGTACTTGTCTTTCTCCGCCTGGCTTATTTCACTGAGCATACTACCCTCTAGCTCCATCCATGTTGTTGCAAATGGTAGGATTTGTTTTCTTCTTATGGCTGAATAATAATATTCCATTGTGTATATGTACCATATCTTCTTTATCCATTCATCTACTGATGGACACTTAGGTTGCTTCCATGTCTTGGCTATTGTAAATAGTGCTGTGATAAACATAGGGGTGCATATCTTTTTCAAACTGGGCTTCTGCATTCTTAGGGTAAATTCCTAGAAGTGGAATTCCTGGGTCAAATGGTATTTCTATTTTGAGCCTTTTTTTTTTTTTTAAGAAACTTTTTTTTACTTTGTTATCATTAATCTACAATTACATGAAGAACATTATGTTTACTAGGCTCCCCCCTTTACCAAGTCTATTTTGAGCTTTTTAAGGAACCTCCATACTGCTTTCCACAATGGTTGAACTAAGTTACATTCCCATCAGCAGTGTAGGAGGGTTCCCCTTTCTCCACAACCTTGCCAACACTTCATATCATTTGTTTTTTACAGTTTCTTTAAATCTGGATCCAGCGAAGATCGGTACATTGCAATTGGCTCATACATATTTTTAGCCTTTAAATCTGTAATCCCAATCCCCCACCACCTTTCCCCATATTTTCTTGTTGAGTAAGCAAGGTGGTTTTTCTCAGAGTTTCCTACAGTTTGGATTTTGCTGATTATATCCCCATGTTGACTTTTTTTTTATTATTAAGGTATCAGTCTTATGAAGGTTTCACATGAGCAATGTTATGGTTACTACATTCACCCATATTATCAAGTCCCCCAATGTACACCCCATTGTGGTCACTGTTCATCGGCATAGTAAAATGCTACAGAGTCACTACTTGTCTTCACCCAGCTATATTGCCTTCCTCGTGAGCCCCCCCAACCCCACTACATTATGTGTGCTAATCATAATCCTCCTTAGTCCCCTTTTCCCTCCTTCTC